GCCTCCAGAGGCTGGGCACGCGGGTGCCCCTCACCGGCTGCCCTGAGCCTGCCCTGTGGCCTGTGACCTCTCTAGACCCACTGTCTCCTGGTGCTGGGATCCACTGAGCCCCCCACCCTGCTGGTGGCCTGGGGGCAGTGGAGGGACCCGTCCTCCTGAGGTGCAGCCGCAGCCTGCTGGGTTTCGCAGAAGCCACCTCCCTGGGTGCCACCGCAGTGCAGGCTTCCCCCTTTCCGGGAACCTGTCCCTCACTGGCTTCCTCTCCTGTGATGTCACTTCTCCTATGACCTGCAAAGCCGCTTCCACCGGCTCCCAGCCCTGGAGGCCAGGCCGGGGTCAGGCGGCTGGGCTGACGGGGCCCCTGTGGCCAGCCTGGCTCTGGGGGCCTCTCTGCTCCCCACCCAGGCCCTGGGCGGCCAGTGTGCCTGTGGCCACCCTGTGCTGGTGCTGGCCGTGGTGGAGGCTGGGTCCCCTGTTCCCAGATGGCCACAGCCTGCCTGTCAGCCCTGTGCTGTCACAGTCATTGCTCCTAAAACACGGCACCAGGGGTTCCGTCGCCCGGTTTACTGACGAGACCTAAAGCTGTCTGAGGCAGGATCCTGTCCCCAAGGCCACACAAGCCATTCAGGTGCCAAACCTCGAACTCAGTTCTGCAAGGCCAGGTCCAGGGCTCTGGCCACCGGGCGGGACACTGCTCTTCCTGTCCCTCTTTCCCTTTAGCCTGTCCTGAGGAAGGACGGAAGGAGTGCCCCCTCCTCTCCACCCACCCAGGAGTCTCCCATTCCTGCGGTTGCCGGCAGGCAGGGTGGACAGGGTCCCTGCTCACCATCTGGTGAGGCAAGGACAGAATCCCCCAAGCCAGAGAGGCGGGACAGCAGGGCGCAGGGCAGCAGCGCCTCCCTCACCCAGCGCTCAGCCCCGGGGCACAGGGCGCGCAGCCGCCACTCTTTCTGGGTGCTCCTGGGCGGCCTTGGTGGGTGGGAGGAAGGGGAGCCAGAGGCCAGGCGTCCCCCAGGAGCCTCCGCGGCAGGAGCAGGATGAGCAACTGGCCAGGAGGGACCAGGCTGCTTGGGGCAGGCTCACGGGGTCACACGGGCCCTGGCTATTCGTCCCAGCCAGTGCTTCAGGGTCTCTTACCGTTATCATGTGAAGTAGCTGCTAACTTAAAATGACTGTAGCCCTGCACGGGGTTGGCGGGGGGTAGGCTGTGTCCAGGGTGCACCATGCAGAGGCTGTGGACAGGGCCTCTTGGATGCTTGTCTGGCCCCTGGTAAGGAGAGGCTTTTCCCACGACCCCAGCCCAGCCCCTGCTCCACCGCAAGCACCAAAGGCTGCCGTGATGGACAGGTTCCTGCGGGGTGCAGGAACCCAGGGAAGGGAGCGCGGCCGCGGCCCATTGCCAGCAGAGGGGTCATCCTGCTTGTGGCACTGGTGCCTCAGGCCCTGCCCGAGGCCCAGGCAACCCCGCAGCTTCTCTAGGTTGAAATGTTCCGTTCCCTTCAACGGGGCTCTGTTTTCTCCCTGTGTCCCACAGCTTCTCCATGGGATCAATGACCCGACACCCCCATTTTGACTCTTAGGGATCCATTTGACTCCTTGTTCCCCTGCCCTTATTCCATCCCCTAGTGTCTCTGTCCACTTCCTGGGCAGCCTCAGGGGTAACAACCCGTGGTAGCCCGCTGGTCCCACTAAAAACCACGGACGGGTTGGTGTCTTAGCATGAAAAGGGCTGGGCTTGCTCCTGGGCGCCCCCTGGTGGTGCCAGGTGCCCCTGCGGTGCAGCTGGGGCTGGGGGCATCTAGGTCAGCGTTTTCTATCTCCGGACCCCTTTACTCCAATTAAAATTACGAGCATCCTGCAGAGGTCTTGCATGTGAAGGTCATACAGCTATTATTACAATGCTAGAAATTCACCCAAGATCATTTAAAATAGTTATTACATTTGTTTCCTCTTGCTCCTAGTTTCAGCCACCCACTGTCACAAGGTCTGAAAATATCAAGTGGAAAATTCCAGAAATAATTCCTGAGCGTTAAGTAACTTAATTTTAGCATATTGACGCGACTTTTCTAGATTATTATTAGTTATTGCTAATCTTTCACTGTGCCTAATTTACAGTTTAGCTTCATCTAAGTAGGAACAGGGAGGAAGGGCATCGAGGGCTTGGTACTGTCTGTGATTTTAGGTACCCATGGGGTCCTGGAGGGGACCCCAGTGGAGAAGGGGGACGACCAAGACTCCTTTAAAATGATCATCAGCTTATTATGTGTTCATGTGGAAAACATCCGTGGAAAATCAGTTACGCTTTCTCAAGCCAAATACCGTTGGCGACAGGGAAGAGTCATTTACACATTTTGCGACTTTCTTTAATAAGTGGCTTAGGAGCCCACACTGACCCTGGCATCTGCTTCTGCCCGCACTAGATGACATCATGTCTCACGTGGCGTCTGGAAAGTTCCGCCGTATCACTGTGACGGAAGCCAACAACAGGGTCTCACTGTGACAATGACTTTGGATCCTCAGGGGTCCCCTGCTCGTGGGTGCAAGGTCAAGAACAAGGCCGTGGGTCTGGAGACGGACTCTCAGGAGGCCTGAGTCAGGCCAGGCCCTGGAGGGGCATTGGAGGGGCTCGGTCCCCAGAGCTCATGGTGGGGGAGGAGCCAGGGGGCTCCATGCCCCGCAGGCCAGGGCGTCCGCCGGGTCCTGAGCAGCAGGACTCTGCTCCACCTCAACAGCGCCCTGTGGACAAGTGGGCTAGAGCAGGTCCTCCCGGCCAGGTGGTTGCGGGGAGGCCGGGGCCTGCTGTCCCGGAGGCTCATTGGGGGTTGGTTGGTGGTTGATTGACTGACTGCTGTTGAGTGTCCGGCTCGCGGTGTTCCGGAAGTTCCGGCTCTGGGCATGAGGTGGCCAGCTGGCGGGGCGTGTCTGTGGTGGGGTGTCCCCCCATACTTTGGGGCTGTCCCTGGCCTCTGGTCTCCACTACGCTCCCGGCTGGAGCATTTCATCCCTCTCTGGAGGTCTCGGGCCTGGGTTCCTTGCGGGACCCCGCTGCAGATTTCTTCTCTCTGTGCCTGTTGGGGCATCCCGTGAGCGGACGAGCTGTCCCTCTTTGTATTGTGAGGGTATCCCACCGGGGACGGAGGGACCCCACTGCTCTGGGGAGGGCCCCATCTCCCAGGGGCGCTTGCACCTGCTCTGTGGGGGCACGTGTGAGGCCTGTTCTCTGGGGCCGGCTCCACCTCCCGTGGGGGCTGTCCCACCTGGCCTTCCAACTGAGCATCCTCCTGATGGGGAGGGCCTCCGGGAGGACGTGAGGGAGCCCCTGGGCAGGTGTGTTCCCACCTGAGTGTGGCTGTGCCTGGAGAATGTCCATCAGCCCCAGACTAGGAGTCCTCGTGGAAGGACCGTCCTTCCATCAAGCCCAGAGGGCCCCGGGGAGCCTGCCAGCAGCCCCAGCAGGGGGACAAGGTGGACAGGGGAACGCTGCCTCTCAGCCTTTCCAGGCACAAGGGGAGTGATCTCCCCTGTCTAGAGACTGGTCAGCCAAGACGGTTTGCCCCTGCTGACACACAGGAGCCTTTTGTCGGATCCAAGGTCAGCAGGAATCATTTATAATAAGGAAGGAAAGCGAGACTCCGGGAAGGACCCTGACTGGCCAGAGTCTCAGAGCTCCTGGTGCCTGGGAGAATCTAGACTTTGACTGTTATTCCCTAGGCAATAGGGAGCCATTGAACCTTCTGGAGCAGGAGAGGAACATAGCTGGCTGCTTTCTAGAGGTGACTTGAGGGTGAACAGACACCCCCAGGAGGAATCAAGACAGGATCTGGGGCTGGTGCAGCTCCTGTCCCTGCTGGCAGCCCCGTCCTTGCCCTATCTGTGCACAGGGGCCCAGACTGTGCCTTCCCTTGAACTGGGAAACCAGCTGTGTGTCCTGAGTTGTCTCTGGTCCCCCCCAGGTTGTGTGGCTTGCGCACCCTGCAGCCCTATGCCGAGAGGATCCCCGTGGTGACCACGGCTGGCATCACCATCAACTTCACCTCCCAGATCTCGCTCACGGGCCCCGGGGTGCGGGTGCACTACGGCCTGTACAATCAGTCAGACCGTGAGTACGGCCAGCAGCATGCAGCAGGGGACCCGGGACCCTGTGCCTCTCCCTGCTGCTTACCAGGTTGGCCGACTGTGCGTACGTGTGCGTGTAGCTTGCCTGCCAGTGCTTGGCTGTCACACGTCCTCAGGCACATGCATGCTCACGCCTGCCCACACGTGTGCGCCTGCGCCTGTCTGGGTATGGACACCGGCCTGTACCTGTTCATGCACGTGTATGCACATGCGTGTGGGCGCATCCTGGTGCTAACGGTGCCCTCCTTGCTTCCGTGGCCTCCTGTGGCCCAGCCTGCCCTGGAGAGTTCCTCTGCTCTGTGAACGGCCTCTGTGTCCCGGCCTGTGACGGGATCAAGGACTGCCCCACCGGCCTGGACGAGAGGAACTGTGGTGAGCCTCCATTCGCCCTCGGTCACTGCCTGCCCTGCGCGGCGCCAGCTGAGGCCCCGACACCTGGCACCTGCAGTTCCCCTGTCGGCACCCGAGAGTCGGGGCTCTCACTCAGCTGAGATGGCAGGAGCCTCACCAGGGCCACCCTGTGGGGCTGTGGCAGGGACAACTTGAGACTCGGGCCTCCCAACCCTCAACTCGGGGCTTCTGACCACCAGGCCAACACCCGGCCGTCGGTCTGGCCAGATGTCCAGGAAGGATCAGAGAGGGCGGGGGGCATCAGGAAGGGCAGGCACTGTCAGGGCAGCCTGGGGACAAGTCTTCACCACTCTCAGATGGAGTCCTCGTCCCTTTTCTCCAGGGCCCAGGCTGCCAGCTCTGGTGCCCAGCCCGGGAGGACTCCTGGTGGTCCCCTAGGCCAGGGCTTTCTTGGAAAAGCACCTGAGCCCTGAATCCTGCTGCTGGGCCCGAGAGCCGCGGCCCAGGCAGCCAGGCCGATGTCCCCCTCCACTGCCATCAGAGTTTCCAGTCGGAGGGGGAGAGGAGCAGGAGGAGGCGGAGAAGCACCCCTGTAGGCTGACCCGGCCGCGATGCTGGGGAGGGGCTTCCTCCCTGAACACTGACCATCCAGGGGCCAGTTCTAGCTCAGCCAGGGGACACTGGGCAAGTCACTTCATTCTGCTTGTACCAACGAAATGGGGTGTCTCATGGGGCCATGGTGACACTCAAGCGCACAGTAACTGGGAAAGAGCTGTGACGCTCCATGGGCACCACGGCCAAGTCCCAGCCTGGTCCTCAGGTGTCCTCCCACTGGCCCCTCTCTGTCCCCTCAGTGTGCAGAGCCACATTCCAGTGCCAAGAGGACAGCACGTGTGTCTCACTGTCCCGGGTCTGTGATCGGCAGCCCGACTGTCTCAACGGCAGTGACGAAGAGCAGTGCCAAGAAGGTAGGCGGGGCCCACGGGGATCTGGAGGGAGACCCAAGGGGCAGCCGCGCTCCCAGCCCTCAGCACACGTCCCCAGCGAGGGCTTCGGCTCTCAGGACCAAACAATCAATCAACTTTCTGTACCTGTGCCAGTTCCTCCATCAGTGTCTGTGCACTCACCCGCCCATCCTGTCCAACTGTCCACCCATCCGTCCGTCCATCCGTCCATCCATGCATCCATCCATCTTCTGGTCTCCCCCATCACCATGTTTATCCATTGATTGATAAAATCATTCATTTATCCACTGAGTCATCCAACCATCTCTCCCCCTATCCACTGAACTATGCATTTACTGGTTTTCCTAATGACTGTTCTGGGAGTTCACTGTTGAATCCACCCATCCACCCACC